TCAAGGGTCTCTCACTGCTATTTGGATTCCCTCCAAGCATCATTTACTTATCAGAAGAAACACCAAGCCCCAACGGCTGCTCTCGACAAAACCAATGGATCTCACGCACACCAGGAGACAGTGAATAATCTCAGACCATCTACCACAATCAAAACCATGCTACATGACCTTGCTGTGACATTATTCAGGAAACAGCAGCAGCAGTTATACCAGCTGTGCTGATAAAATGTTGAAAAATTTCAGTACTTATTTATTATAAATTATTATTTAGGTAATGTTTGAATATTACCTTTAATATAGATTGCTTGTATTTAATTTTAGTGGTTTTAGTGATTAGTGGTTGCTTGAACATTGCTTCAACTATAAAGCAGAAGACAGTAGTTTCATTATTCTGCTCAATTCAGTTCAAGATTTGTTCAACAAACAAGGCCTGAAAATAAGGGCGAAATTTTCAGAAACTATATTTTTACAGATATATTAATTAAAATGTATTATTTCATTAGAAATATTTAATATTTTTATTTTAATAAAAATAAATATTAAAAACACTATTATTTATTTATTTTAATTGTTTATCTTTTACATAATGTTTGAATATTACATCTAATAAATCTGTATTTGAATATTATATTTAATAATATTTTAAAATATTTGTCAGTTTAAATATGGTTGCTAGGGTGTTTTGGTTGGTTGTTAGGGTTGTTTGGGTGGTTGCTGCGGTGTCGTGTTTGGTTGCAAGGTAGCTGTTAATTAAAAGTGTCTATTTATTTTTATAATACTATTTACAAATATTAAATATTTAGATTTTATATTTGATTCATGTAGTATGGTTACTTGTTTTGGATGGTTGCAGTCTAGTTATGAGTCATTCCTCCTTTAAGCTCTGCTCTGGGTTTAATATCCATTCACCTATTAGATTTATTATTCCTTCTTGCTTTCATAAATCTTCTTGAATGTGTCGTGGTAGCTGTGGCGGGGCAGAGGGAGTCCAAACTCAGACATTCAGACTTTAGCGAGCATCAGCTTTCTTTGAAGGAGAGTGACAGAGATGTGTTTGACGCTGACAGTTGTGTTGTAATGAGCCGGTTTGTCCCTGCCGGCCGCTCGCAGAGGATCAGATGGTGCTCGCTGTGGCTCTCGGGCAGCTCTTTGCTAATGACAGGAGTGAAAGGGCCGCCGCGGGCCACAGATCCTGCGCTCATGATGATCGTGGGGACGGCAGGCACAGTTTAGTGGATTACAATAATGTCTGTGATGCTTCTCTGGGGATTTAAACTATTTAGAGTGCCAGCGTTTAGTGTGATACTGTCTGTTTGGATGGACCACAATATACCTGCTAGAACAAATTATTGTATTGCTAATTTATAAGCTGACATGTTTATGGATTCTTCAACTTATTTATATCCTAATATAACATTCTGATATTATATTATAATATAAAAGATGCAGTCATATTATATTAGAATATTTTATATATTATTATTATATTAATATATACTTTTATTAACATAAATAATATTCTATATAATATTTTAATATATAATGTGTGTGTATATATATATATATATATAATAATGGTAGAACATTACATATAATATAATATAATATATCTATATTATATATAACAATGCATATATGTATATACATGTATTATTTATATTTTAATTATATTACATACAGTATCTATGTATTATTATATCGCTATTATATTATTTGATCATGTAAATAAAATATTTTAAATATGGTCAGATATTATATATAATATTTAATGTATTAATATTAAACTTTATATATGATCTATATTCATCTAATATAGTTATATATGAATGCATTTGTCATTTTTATTTAATTTCTTTTATTTTCTTAAATGTGTGTATATATATAGTATTTATAGAGTTTTAGCTTTTAGTCTTAGTTACTTTTTCTTATTTGTAAGTCGCTTTGGATAAAAGCGTCTGCTAAATGACTAAAAGTAAAGTAAAAGTAAGTAATATGAATAGTTTAACATATATAATATTATACATAATATTTTAATATATGATGTATATGTATTATTTTATTTTAACATATGTTATAATATAATATAATATAATATAATAACATTTTAATATTTTATTTTTTATGGTAGAACATTACATGAAATTCAAATATAATATATACTAATGCAGACATACACACATGTATATGTATTTATTATTTATATTTTTAATTATATTACATACAGTTTATCTATATTCAAATATTATGTAATATTTTCAATATTATTTTAATGTAAATATAATATTTTAAATATGTTCATATATTATATATAATGATGTTACATATATTAATAATGAACTTTCTATATGATCTGTATTCATCTAATATATTTGAATATTATATGCAATTGTATGTGAATATTATATGTACATTGTAGTGTTACAGTTTTGTAAGTGTGCAGATAATACATGAATATAGTATATTAAATATGCTAAATATGGGTTAAATAAAACAAAAAGCACTAAAACTGGATGTCCCTGTTTTAAGATATTTCATTCTCTTTTCTCAGTAATCTAATTGTGGTCTGTTATTCATAGCTGTTCTCTCGTCCTGAGTTCACATTCTTTCATATAATTATGTGGATGTATTTTCAAGTCATTTATTCTGAGCCTCGTAATTTATGGCAGGAAGGGGTTTATAGGACAGGCGTGAAATTAACACCTGTTATTCTCTCAGGACTCAAATTAATTAACCTACTACCTTAATAGAGAACGGCAAGCAC